CCAGAAAAATCATCAATAACCATATAGACATACCTTTTTCATCCCAGGCTATCTATTTGCATATGTCCCATTATATCCATATGAAGAAGTTCCAAAACTTTGGAATTAGTCTGATGTTGCAACATCGGGTGTGACATCATAGATTGCTTTGTAATTTCACACTCACCATAGACTTTTCTTTCTCCAATTTTGAGATCTTGCATTCCCTTGATAGCTTCTTCATATAAAATCTCCATCATTCCTTTTATATTAAGATGTCTAAGTTTCTGGTGCCATAGCTTTACTTCTTCTTCATGAGTTATTAGGCATGTTGAAGAATATGCAGTTATCTGAGATTCCTATAGATAACAGTTATCTTGAGATCTAATTTCATTCATTAGGATAACATCCCTTTTATATTTGACCAGCCATTCTGACTTTGAGAAGTAGACTAGAAGACCTTGGTCACACAATTGACTAATGCTAATGAGCTTAGCAGTTAATCCTTTCACATAAAGAACATCTTATAAACTAGGAGAACCAACACACTTTAACTTACCAACTCCTTTGATTTCACTATTAAACCCATCACCAAATCTTACAGATCCTGTGGCATGAGGCCTAATATTCACCAATAACTTTTGAACTACTGTCGTGTATCTAGAGCATCCACTATCAAAATATCAGTCTTCTCTATTTGAATCTTCTAAGGAAGTATGAGCAATAAAGTTCATATCCCTATTTTTAACACTTCTCTTGTTGCTTACTTGATCAACCTTAAAATGAACTGAAGATTTTTGATATCCATACAGTTTATAACAAAAGGGATTTATATGACCACGCTCGCCATAATAATGGCATATCCATGTTGATGATTGAAATCTGGATAATGTTTTATCATGTCTTATAGGATGTTGACCATTCTCTTCCTTTCAGGAGAAAATGACTCCTATTTAGATACTCTTCTTTGTTTGTTATCAGATTGATAATCAACTTCAGTATCTCATTCTTCTCTCACCATATTACCTTTACTTTTCATTTTCTTCAAGGAATCTGACATGTTATTGAGCTTGAAATTTAAGAGAGTTACCTCAATTTGAAGATATGAAACAAAACATAGAAGCTCCTTATTTTCATTCTCCAATTCAGATATAATCTTCCTTTGTTCTTCTATTATCCGAAGACTTTCTTTAAACCTGTCACAAGTATCCTTTTAAGATACATCAAGGTATTCATAGAAATTACTATCATCATAAGTTTCCACCTCATCTTCCCATTTGTCTGAAAGAGCCACCACAAGTTTTGCATATTTATTGTTAGCCTCATCTTCTGACTAATCATCATCAGACTAAGACACAATGAAGCCCTTTTCCTACCTCTCGAGAAACATGGGACATTCTGGTTTGATGTAATCAAAACGTTCACACTCATAGCATTGAATGCCTTTGCTTTGATTGGTATTTTATTTAGGTCTGGTATTCTTCTGAAAGTCATAATCACTCCTGATGTCAGATGAGATGTTCCTGACATTTGGTCTTCCTCTTCTGTCCATCCTTTTCAGAATTCTGTTGAATTGCTTTCCAAGTAACACAATAGTATTGGATAGACCTTCATCAGTATCTAAATTAGCTTGGCCTTCTTTATCTCCAGTATTGGGAAAAAATCTAGACACTTGTTCTTTTTCTAAGACTTGTCACTAATGACCAACTCAAAGGTTTAAAGTGAACCAACAAGTTCATTAACCCTCATGTTGCCGATGCTATGAGCTTCTTCAATGGATGTTACCTTCATGTCAAATTTCTTAGGTAGAGACCTAAAAATCTTTCTAACAAGCTTTTATTTTGACATCTTTTCCCCCAATACACTCGTTACATTACCTATTTCAAGAATCTTCATATGATATTCATGAATGGTCTCATCATCATCATTCATCCTTATATTCTCAAATTTAGAAGTTAGAAGCCGGAGTCTTGACATCTTTACTTTGGATGTACCTTCATGAGTTATCTTGAGAATTTCCCAAGCATCCTTTGCTATAGTACATGTATTAATTAGCCTGAAAACATTCATGTCTACTTCATTGAATAAAGCATTCAAGGCATTTGAATTTCCAAGATCTAATTTATCATCCTCATCATTGCAATCTTCTTATGGCTTAAATGAGACCTTCCCATCTTTGTTTATATTAACATGATGTTCCCATCCGTTCAAAATAGCCTTCCAAGCCTTGTTGTTCGTAGTCTTCAAAAAAGCCAGAATTCTAACTTTTCACCGATCATAATTAGAACAATCTGACAGAGGTGATTTGTTGTTGTATCCTCTTTCTTTATTCATATTACCAGAAAATAGTCTCCTTAGAGCTCACCCAATAGAGAGAACAGGGTGTCTGCTCTGATGCCAATTGAAATTCATGCACTTGTAATAAAAAGATCAAGACTGATGTCTCAACACAAAACACGATGTCAAGACAAATGTTATAACATCTGTTGACAGAAAACCTGTTGTTGATTGTGCAGAAAGATAAATTGCATAAATATAAATAACACAATCAATTGTAAACCTGACTCGGTGCAACATTACCTACTCTAGGGTCTACCAAGTCAGGAAGAAAATCCACTATGATAATATTAGTTTGAATCCTAAATAGTCCAATTTTACAACTTCTTTCCTAATCATTACCTTGTGCAACTTCTACCTAGGAACCTCCTAGATATGAGAACCTCCTCTCACTTCCAATCACCGCAGTGATATATCTACAACCACAAACCTTGTGACTAGAATTGAATCCAAAAGAAAATTACACTTCCAATAAACAATACGTATTTAATACTCTTAACAAAGAACAATACTCAACCATCTTATTAAAAGCTCGTGGGTGAGAATAATAGTTTGATAAACAAGAAAAAATCAGTCAACTCAATGCATCAAAAGATACATGAGTGAAATACAAAAAACACAAACACTAAAAACCTAAAAGACTTCCAAAACCCTAATCCTTAAGTTGCACACACGATTTTTTCTTTTTGAATGTTTTCTATTTTAAGTCTAACAAGTCTTTATTTATAGACTCTTGCATTATGGGCTTAGACTCTTCAAAAGATCAAATCTTCACGTTCAAAGCAACTGCAAGATCTTCTCGGAAAAATATGAACAAATATTTTAAAATCTTCCTAAAAATACTCCAAGATCCTTTTTAAGAAATCCAATTAAATCTGCACTTTGTTCCTAAATAATCTCCTTGACCTGCACAGAGTGATGAGGTATATCCAAAAGGATATCATCAAATTAAATCAAATTTGTCAAGAGATATACAATAGTAATGCCTGTTATACATAATCTAGAATGTCATGACATTTGTCTTCGACATCTTACTGAAAACACATAACAACTGAACTGTCAGAACAATTGATGAAGATGTTAAAACATCTTGCTCAATATTAATATAGAACTATATTTTACCAAAATGTAGCAAATCATAAAACTGTGGAATTAACAAATTTGATCCTCCAGGTTTCATATTCCATAACTTGTATTCCTTCACACGTTTAGGATAACCAATAAAGACACTCTTCATAGCCCTAGCATCAAGCTTGTCTTGCTTGATATGTGCAAACTTCAAGGCTCCAAAATTATTCAAATTATATTAGTCTATCGATTTCTCACTTCAAACCTCCATAAGTATTTTAAGACTATTCTTATGGACAAACATTTATAATCAACTAAGATGAAGTAGAAACAATGTCAACCCAAAAACTCTTTGGTAACTCAGCTCCCAACAACACACATTTTACTCTCTACAAAATGGTCTTATTCACGTGTTCATCTTGGCCATTTTGTTGAGGTGTGTCAGAAACAATTATATGCCATTTTATATTATGTTTCTCGTAAAACTCATTAAACTACTTTAAAACAAACTCTACATCATTATTAGTTCTTAACACATTCAGTTTAGTTCTCAATTGATTTCCTATTAAAAATGAAATTCTTTGAAGTTTTTCACTTTTATTTTCAAAATGTGAACCCATGCTCTTCTAGAAAAATCATCAATAATAGTGAGAAAATAAAAACCACCCTCATGAGTTGCTATTGTTTCGGACCCCGTTGTTTTTAACTTCGACTTATAAAAACCCTTAGACTTGGACTTTGACCTAAATTTCTTCCCATTTTGATATCCTCTACCTTCACTCATCTTTCTTAAAACATTCAAACATTCACCAATATTGTCAACCACAAACTCTTTCATTTTGGTTTTCTCTTTGGTTCTTATAACCGATTGAACCTCTTCCAAGGTGATATCTTGTTCCTTACCATAAAGTAGATAATTCATAAAATGCTCAAAAAAAAAATTGGTAACGAGTTTAAAAAGAGTAAGGCCTTATCCTTATTATCAAGTTTAACCTCAATATTTTTCAAGTCGTCAATGATCTTATAAAATTTTTCCAATCGCTCCACGATGTATTATCATTAATAATTGGAAATTAGTAGAGTTGTTGTTTTAGACACAATGTATGAGCCAAGTACTTGGTTGTATACAAGTTTGACCCGCATCTTTCTCATAGTCATCTCCCTTGTGACTTCTCTTAGAATTTTATCTCAGAGACACAAGATTGTGGGATTCTTGACCATATCCACTATCTTTGTCTTTTCTGCTTGTGTTAGGATTATCGACATGAGTGCATTACATTTCCATGCCTCCACATGGTTTTGTTGAATTAAGATTGCTTGCATTTCACTTTCCATAACTCAAAGTTATTATCTCTGAATTTTTTTACATCCTATTTAGAAACCATAATGCTCACTTGAAAACTTAATGATCTCTTTGCCCCACAGTAAACGCCAATTATTGTGAAATCGAAGATCAAACACACCAAAAACTTGATGCAAGGGTAAAAGAATAATGAAAACCACACTTAACGATCTCACAATCTATTTCTCTAAGTTTCCCTCTAAAAAATACTCTCACACAATCTAAGTGACCGAAAAACTCATTGCTGTCCAAAAATCGAAAAAATGTGTCTCACATGCTTAAAGTACGCCTCACGCGTCCATGCTAATTTCAACTTAATTGAATGTATTTATTATGACTATCATGATTTTATTTTGAATATATGCACCAATTTACTATGGTTAAATTTTACAAATCAAGCAAATTTCGTAGTTTAAATATTTTTTTCATATTTTTTGAAGTATTATTGAAAAATATTAATCATGTACTTTTTATATCTATCGTAAATGAAAATAGAGTTGTACTAACCCGTATGTAAATTTTTTGGCAGTTTAAGAGCATTGAAGAAGCTGTAGTAGCAGGTGTAAAAAGCATAGCTACAAATTGTATTAAATCTGGAACGGTAAAAAAATTGATATACACTGGCACAGTTGTTGCTTCTTCTCCATTGAAGGATGATGGAAGTGGCTACAAAGACTTCATTGATGAAACATGTTGTACACCTCTACATCTTCCTCTCACTGCTCTCCATAAGGTAGTAATTAATAGTTATACACCTTTATATTACACCACAAAAAACAAGAGAATATAACAAATATTGGTTAATTATTTTGTTAGGAATATGCAGATTCTAAGACACTGGCTGAGAAAGAATTGTTAATGAGGTATGGCAAAGATGAAAATGAAAGTGGTAGACTTAAGGTGGTTAGTCTTGACATTGGTCTGGTGGGAGGGGATGCTCTTCTTAGTTACATGTCAGCAAGTGTTGCAGTGCTCATTTCTCAGGTGAAAGATAATGAAGCCCTACATCAATCTTTAAAGTTCGTAGAAGATATATGTGGAAAGATTCCACTAGTCCATGTTGATGATGTTTGTGAAGCTCATATCTTTTGTGCTGAAAATCCATCTATCAATGGCAAAATCTTGCTTGCAAACTCATATGTATCATCAGTAGAGATAACAAATTATTATCGTCAAAACTATCCAGAATTCAAACTGAAGGAGAAGTAAGTTTATATTAATGATGAAAATTGAAAAGTGTAGTATTCAATAATAAGTATTTAAAATGTGACAATATTTGACATTTGGTTTTAGGTATTTGGAAGGGCCAAACAGGGAAATCAAATGGGCATCAACAAAGCTCATTGATGAAGGGTTTGTTTTCAAGCATGATCTCAGGATGATATTGGATGATAGTATCAAATATGCAAGAAGAATAGGTGATCTTAGTATGTAATGATATAAAAATACACTTTCAATTATTTATAAACTATTAAATAATTATAAACTATTACGTAAAAACTTAAAATTATTTATTAAATAATATATCTAAATAAATATTTATTACATAGTTAACTCATTTATTTATTACATACAAAATATTATTAATTCATTTACATAAACTAATTAATTAACGAAAACGAAGAAGAAGGTCGTGCGTGTTGGAAATTCACCAAAAGATTATGATAAATTTCGACCCCTAATAACGATTAGTTATGAGAAAAACAAAGAAAAGAAGACAAGCCAATTAATTTCTGCAGAGTTTCTCTCTGCTCATAAACTGTGAAAACTTTATTCTTCACTTTGCAACTGCAAAATACTGTGAATGACTTGTTTGACTTGCTTACAAAAAAATAGGGGTTACTCCCTCTATTTATAACTGAGCTTACACCCTAAGCCAAAAGCCCAAAAAATATCTATTTTGTTACTAAATCAAATCTAATCTATTCTAGACTTAAATCAAATCTATTTAAATCTAAAACAAATCAAATCTTTTCAACACTATGAATTACAATTTAACACACCACCTAATTCATTGTATCTAAACTATCTACATTCATCATGACTCTTATCCTTTTGAATACTTCGACTTGCACTCCCTTCGTCGTGATGTCTGCAATCTGATTCTCAGTTCTGCAGTGTTCCAAATTCATCTTCCCATCTGCTACCTGCTCTCGAAGATAATGGAACCTCATTTCGATGTGCTTACTTCGACCATGTGCTATTGGGTTCTTCGCCAGATTGATAGCTGACATGCTGTCGATCTTCATGGTAATTGATCCATGATCTTTCCCTGTTATCTCTTCGACCAAGTTCACCATCCAAGTTGCTTGACATGCACAAAGAGAAGCAGCTATCTATTCTGCTTCGCATGATGATAATGCCACTACTGGTTCCTTTCTTGAATTCCAAGCAACTGGTACACCACCTAGCATAAACACATATCTCATTGTTGACTTTCGATCTTCAGCATCACTACACCAACTCGAATCAGTGTATCCCACTAACTTGCTTTCTTTTCCTTTATCAGTTGCAGGAAACAAAATGCCATAATCGGAAGTTCCTTTGAGATACCTTAGTATCCTCTTCACTGCTTCTAGATGTGATATCTTTGGCTTCTGTATGAATCTACTTACCATACCTACACTATATGCTAAGTCATGCCTTGTATGACAAAGGTATCTCAATGATCCAATAAATCTTCTGTATTGGGTTGGATCAACATCATCTTCATCTGCATCTTTCGACAGTTGCAGTCTTGGTTCTGCAGGTGTCGAAGTTGGGTTGCATTCTTCCATCTCAAATCTCTTGAGAATTTCTCCTGCATATCTTTTTTTATGCATCATCAAACCTCTATTGCTCTTGTAGAATTCGATACCAAGGAAATATGAAATCTCACCCAAGTCATACATTTCGAATTCCTTGCTGAGATCACCTTTGAAGTCTTCGATCTCACTCTTGCAGCTACCTGTTATCAACAAATCATCTACATAGAGACATAGTATAAGCAATTTAATCTTGCTTCTTCTTACATATACTCCATGTTCAGTTGTGCACTTGACAAATTCCTTCTCCCTTAGGAAACTATCAATTTTCTTATTCCAAGCCCTTGGAGCTTGTTTCAATCCATACAGGGCTTTATGCAGCTTGTACACCTTTCTTTCTTTGTCATATTTCACAAACCCAACTGGTTGTTTAAAATAGACTTCTTCATCTAAGGGTCCAGTTAGGAATGCACACTTCACGTCCATCTGACATATGTGCCAACTGTTTATTTCTGCTAGACCAACAACCAACCTGATTGTTTCGATCCTAGCAGCAGGTGCAAAAACTTCATCGAAGTCTATTCCTTCTTTCTGTAGAAATCCTTTCGCCACAAGCCTTGCTTTGTGTCGAGTTACTTCCCCTTTCAAATTCGTTTTCACTTTGTATACCCACTTGACATCAATTGCCTTCTTGCCTTGAGGCAATTCGACAAGTGACCAAGTGTTGTTGTCTTCGATAGACTTCACTTCTTCGTTCATTACTTTCACTGAATCCTTCAATGCTTCATCTGCATTAACGGGTTCGACATCTGCATAGAAAGCATAATGTATCAGCTCACCTTCATCATCTATCACATCATCTGATGTAATCACACAATCTTGCAATCTTGCAGGCAGGCGTCTTATTCTTTGAGGTATGCTTGTACTTGGTATATATATTGGTTCCTCTTATCAAACTTCTCTTTCGACTTGAGTTTCTGGTTCTTCGAATAGGATTCCCACCAAATCTTTCTTGACATTATCAGTCCAATCCCATTCTTTAAACTCGTCTATGATCACGTTCCTGCTGATCACAATCTGCTTTTTCACTGGATCGAACAACTTGTAGCCTCCTGTCGAATGATATCTAACTAGAATCATTTGACTTGACTTGTCATCAAGTTTTCTTCTCAAGTGATCTGGCACATGTCTATGTGCAATATATCAAAATACCTTCAGATGACTCAAGCTAGGCTTCACACCAGACCAACATTCTTCTGGAGTAATTCCTTCTATCTTCTTTGTAGGACATCTGTTCAAAATATATGTTGCAGTCGAAACAACTTCACCCCAAAACTCTTTAGGTAAATTCTTTCCATTCAACATACTTCTCACCATATTCATGATGGTTCAATTCTTCCTTTCTGCAATTCCATTTTGTTGTAGAGTATAGGTTGGCACCACCTCATGCACAATCCCTTCCTTTTCACACAGCTTGTCGAAGTCTTTCAACACATATTCTCCACCACCACCAGTTCTCAAAACTTTGAGCTTTCGACCACTCTGTCTTTCGACCATAGACTTAAACTTGGAAAACACTTCTATCACTTCACTTTTCTTCTTGATCAGATAAGTCCATAGCTTTCTACTGAAACCATCTATGAATGTAACAAAGTATTTGTTACCTCCCATCGAATCTACCTGGATTGGTCTACATACATCAGAGTATATGACTTCAAGAATAGCCTTCGATTTGTTTCCTGCATCCTTGCTGAAGTTATTCTTGTGTTGCTTCGTCTGCACACATTCCTCACATACTTCGTTTGGAATGTCAATTTCAGGAAATCCTGAAACCATATTTCTTCTCTTCAAATCTCTGATGTCTCTGAAGTTGAGATGGCCTAGTCTATAATGCCATATCCATTCATCTCTGCTAGCTGCAGTCGAAAGGCACTTGTGCTCCATCACATTTAGTTCAATCTTGAAGGTTCGATTCTGAGACATAGGAGCCTTCAAGATTAATCTCCCATTTGCATCAACGACTCTCATCGTCTTATCTTCGATTGACACTTTATAATTCTTTTCGATCAACTTCCCTATACTGAGAAAATTGCTCTTCATGCCTGGTATGTACAACACATTGGAGATTACTGACCTTTTTCCATCTTTCCTCATAATCAGAACATCACCAATACCTTGAGCTGCTAGGGTATTGTCATTTGCAAATTTTACCATATTTTTCATTGAGGGCTTTATACTGACAAACCAGTCTTTCCTTCCAGACATATGTGATGAACATCCTGAATCCAAGTACCATTAGTCCTTGAATCTATCTTCATATCTTGTTGTGACCATCAGCATCATCTCTTCTTCTTCATGTTTTGCAAGCTTTGCATTACTTTCTTGATTCTTTCGTTTTTCTGGACAATCACTCGAATAATGTCCATACTTCTGACAATTGTAACATTAAATGTGACTCTTATCAGGTTTTCAACCACGACATCTTCCTCTATTTACAACACCACCTCTTTGGTTTCCTTGGTATGGTCTTCTTTGATTCGACATGTTTCCTTCGATCTGGTTTCCTCTACCATTCGATTTGTTGTAGCCACCTCTACCTCTGTCGAAACACTTTCCTTTGCCTTTGGTTTCTTTTGCTGAATGTGCCTACAAGGCCACATCACTATTCAATTTTCCTGCATCTCTTTCATTCATTCTTTGTTCATGAGATTCAAGCGTCCCTTGAAGCTCTTCCTTTGTCAATTTCGACAAGTCTTTCCCCTCTTCTATCGCCACCACTATGTGGTCGAACTTAGGAGCTAAAGATCTCAAGATCTTCGAAACAACAACTCTTGTTGTTAACATTTCTCCATATATCTTGATTTGATTTACTAGTTTTGTAACTCTAGTGAAGAAATCATATATGCTTTCACTGTCTTCCATCTGAAGCAGTTCGTACGTCCTTTTGTGAGTTTGTAACCTCACTTCTTTCACCTTCTCAGCACCTTCAAAAGACTTCTCAAAGATTTCCCAAGCTTCTTTTGCAGATTCTGAATCACTAACTTTTTCAAAATTGTCCGGGCTGACACATTGATGAATTATAAATAGTACTTTATAACTCAGCTTCTCAGCTTCTGTGTATTTCTTCTTTTCTTCTTCTGAAGCGTTTACTCCAAGCACTTCGAATCCATCTTTTACAAGATCCCAAAGAACTTGACACCTAAATAAGACTTTCATCTGTTTGCACCAATTCTCATAGTTGACAACTTTCAAAATTGGTAGCGTTGCTGGATAATTTGCATTCTCATAACTTGTCATCGTGAAATCTTCAATCGTTCTTGATTGATACTTCCCTTGAATCGAAACAAAAGCTCTTGATACCAGATGTTGGAAATCCACCAAAAGACTATGATGAATTTCTACCCCAATGACGATTAGTTATGAGAAAAACAAAGAAAAGAAGACAAGACAATTAATTTCTGCAGAGTTTCTCTCTACTCACAAACTGTGAAAACTTTATTATTCACTTTGCAACTGTAAAATACTGTGAATGACTTGCTTACAAAAAAATAGGGGTTACTCCCTCTATTTATAACTGAGCTTACACCCAAAGCCCAAAGCCCAAAAAATATATATTTTGTTACTAAATCAAATCTAATCTATTTTAGACTTAAATCAAATCTATTTAAATCTAAAACAAATTAAATCTTTT